TTCATGCTGTTTAATCATAACATATACATTCTTCGTTCTTCGGTTTAAGCCACCCTTTGTTTTCACCATGATGGTTGCAGGCGGTGAAAATGCCTGACCCGAGAATAAATGTCGCTGCACACAGTGGTAGCTGTGTTGGCTTAGACGTCGAGGCGCTTTCTGGCAGTCATTGTAACAAAGCTTTCTATTGGTCGGTAAATTTTCTATCGCGCAACCACGTGACATACACGGTTGTGAATAGATTTACCGCACGGTGTTGTAGAGGGAGGAATGTCCGAACGGAACAACACCGTGCAGGCGGACGATGGGTTTACCCTTTTTAGAATGAATAATGTAATTCATAAAATTAATTGCAAGAATATCACGACTGAGAGATGTCATATTATGTTCATTATTTCAAGTTTACTACTTCACAGTCCCTGCATGTGATAGAGGTGAATACTTGAAGAAAACCGGGTGAATACCGAATACCGAATACCGAATACCCGAAACACTTGGAATCAGCCTGAGCTACTTAGTTTGAAGGGGGCAAAAAATGCATTTTACGTTTTCACAGGAAATAAAATGCAAAGTTTCATTTACAGTAAAAAAAAGAGTTTTTATACTTTACAAATGAAGCAAATTCCCAATTATATTTTTATAATACTTGATAATTTGTGTTTAAGAATCGAAATTTGAAATTGCACACGAATTACGGCATTTAATGTGGAAAATGCTTTATACACTTACAAATTACGGACGAATAAAATAGCTGATTACATTTTACAACTTTCCCATGCCTACGAATTGCCACCTGATTCACGCGTTCAAATCCTACCCAGAATGCAACCCTGTCATAAACATCATAATCTGTACAAACACAAATGTCACAACACAGTGGAGATGTATACAACGCATGTAAAATACATTGTTATTTACATGAAATTCGAACCCGCGCTACGCGACGACCACCGCGCTTTAAACCATCAATATTAAATCGGATATATCCAAGGATTTTTTGTTTAGTTTTTATAACACTTGACAGTCACGGTGCGATATGAATTTAAATCTTCAATATTACTGTGAAATCATTTATTTTCACTGACATTTAATTTCACTACTTTGATACTTTGAGCATATTCACTGTGTTTTAATTTCACGAATTTGTCAAGGAAACAATGAGTTTTATTGTTTTGTTTTTCATATCCACGTAGATTTAATTTTAATTCATCGGATTTTACGAAAATCCGGATATCAGCGAAAAAAAGGGGAATTAATGCATTTTACAGTAATCATTCAAGTTATTTTACGTAGTTCAGATTTTGGTAAAAAGCCATTAATTGGTCACGTGTTACTCATGCATTAGGGTTTTATAGGAGTATGTAAGATTTTGTAGAGAAGCGAGCATTGAGACGTTACCTTGGTGACCGTTTTGACGGATGAAGCTAGGCCATCTGTAATTAACTACTAGTAATGTGTATTAGGGGGGGTCGAACCTGATATCTCTACAGTGTTTTATCGTCCATGCGAGTCGAAGTTCTCTACACCATACGTACTAAATAACATATCGAACAAATCGTCAATAAAAACAACATATCACTGTAAAGAAATAGAGGGTGAATTACATCATTTACAAGAATGTAAACTGTACACAGAACATAGAGATATGTATATATATATATATACATATAATATTCTTAAAGAAATTAACAGTGATTACCAAAACTTAAACAAAAAAGAACAATTTAAACTTGTACTACAGTCACCAAATACAAACCATCTTATCACTCTCTGCAAATATTTAGTTAAATATAAACAAGACTAATTCTTTTATTTTGTCATGTTCTTTTATATTTTATACATATTCTGTGATGCATACAGATATACTTACATGTCACAGTATTTTAATATTCCTTATATTATAAATAATAGTCTGTACTATTCTTGTCATTCATCAATTTTGCGTTCTTTTTTAAATCATTTTTTACATTTCATGAACTTTTAGTATTTACTTTATTAATCTGCAAACCTAAAAAGAAATGTTAACTCGTTCTTTACGGCATTGATAAAGCATTATTCTATTCTATTCTATTCTATCATAAGAAAGACAACATTGACTTTCAACGTCGGAAACTGTACCGTGTCTTTATTCAATTTCAATGAAAGTACGACATCTTTTAACTGCAATCTTCGCAATGCATTGTGTGGGTGTGTCATGAAAATAAGACATATTGTGGACACGTGTTCTAACATCGTCTGTTGACCTCCTCATCACCCCACGTTTTGAAGTGTTCCATAAATTATTGAGTACCCGACGGTTAGCACGAGCATCGTGACAGTCGTGCAAACAACTTGTGACGTCACACGTACGTCACTTTGCACGGCATGCCCGAATTCCATCCTCTTTATCACGTGAGTGTCATTTTAACCAAAATATCGATTTCGAAAGAAAAAAAGTGGCCAGAAATCATACTTTTATTTTGAGTGTAAAGCATAGGCACGAGATTGGATCAAGAACTGAGTGTGCTACTTTGGTGGGCGTGGCGATGATAGATGGCACAGACGCCATCACTGAACAGCCATATGCATTACTACGCTAAAACGATTACACAGGTATTCACTAGATTACAGCGAACTTTTATCATCTTTTGTAAATGTACACCTGAAAACAAATGTATTCATTCAGATTATTCTTTACATAAAATAATAGACCTCTAGCTGCGAGTTTTAAATGACAACATAGATTTCGCAAGACTCAAAACGTAAACACAAGAAATGTCGAGCCAAGCATATTTTAAAGAGCGCTGATTGGCCAGTGATGACGTAGAACCTTGGCCTATATTAGAAACCACAAAAACGTTGGTTGGTCCATTTCAGGTGACGCCCACTTTTACTTGGATCTGATTGGATGATAATGACGTCATGTCTAAATTGGAATCAAGAGTTGCACAATAAGTAGGCGAGTGTTGCAACAGCCAATTTTACCGATTTACAACTGCGACAATCTAGAGAGAGAAGGCAGGCGATATAGGAGCTGTCCGGTTGGACTTACTAAGGTATGATACATATATAAATCGAAAATGGCATTCCAGAAATGGTAATTTAGTTAAAATGCAGTTATTTTGCCGCGTTATACGACCATCCGTGTAAAAAAAGTTGATCGGTTACTATGATATATCGGCGATACTGTAAACAAGTGACGTGCATACGTCGTTTCAGAGTCGGAATCTCTTTTTAGCTGTCATGATATTTTAGCAAATCCGCAGTTTCGCTAATTACCGGAAATTATATTCTCACGATTCGATTGATAGCACATTAGCTAAATTGAGATTCTGTTAATTCGTGACTTTGTAAAATTTTCTGAAATGACATGAAACTATTCCAAAGCGTGCAGTATTGCCTCTAGAGGGACTGTGGTTGACGTAGCTGCAGTTCTGTAGCTC